TTGACTATATATAAAGCAATTATCTTGAATAGGAATCAAATGAACACAAAGAAAGTAGTTTATAATTACTTTATTATGAATTAGTAAGTAAACAGAAATAGGAAAAATTATAAAATACTTTATTTTTAAATCTTTCGAATTTTTCAATTTTTCCCACGGCACACCAGGCAACATCTCGCGGCACACAGTGGTTGAAAAACACTGGACTAGAGAGTGAGTCAAGTTTTAATTGACTCTTTTGACTAGAGAGTGAGTTTTAATTCAGCCAGTCATGTCTTTCTTTCTTTCTTTCTTTCTTTCTTTCTTTCTTTCTTTCTTTCTTTCTTTCTTTCTTTCTTTTTGCAGTGTCTCACACACGTGGGACTTCAGGATTAACTGGTATTGCCCAGTTATTTCCCAGCACCTCCAACTACTGCTATCCCACATTTCTTTCTCCCAAAATCTGGAGATTCCTAATGCATTTGGTATATCTCTCTAATTCAGATTTTCAAGGTGTAGGGAATATCCCGATTTAGGAAAGAGAAAGTGTGGGAGAGTGGTGGTTGGTGAAGAACGAGGCATGGATGAGGGGGGATTAAACGAGGCACCAAGGGATTTACAATCCACATTAAGCCAAGGTAGGGACAGGCCCTAAAAGATTTATCAACTTTCATGCATCAGATGAAGCATACTGCAGAAAGTTAATGCCGTGATAAACCTGTTCGTCTTTAAGGTGACTCAAGACTTTGTTGCATTTACTTTGCATGCGTGAGAAGATCCTGAGAGTTTCGGTTCCAGTCTCGCACCTGTCCCTGCTTATCTATGGTCGTGAAGCAGAAGATTGGTCCGCCAGGGTTCCACATTCAAACACATACATCACACCTTCCCCCCCGCCCCCGCCGAATGAAACACCACCAAGGATCAGTTTCACTGAGACCAACGTACTGCACAGCAGAAGTTGTTTACTATGCAATTACCCTCTCTAGCAAAACTTTCCACTTCTGGAGCCGAAATGGAAAGTGCCATCGAGGGAACATGAACAGGGAGGAAGACATTTACTTCTCTTCCTAAAAACGTGAAGGCAGTTTCCCGCAGCAACCCACTGGGAACTCAGTCACAGCCAGGCACGCCTATCGGGGGGCCCAGTGCCCAGGCTTGTTACAGATGCAAAGGTCAGAGTAGGGCAGCTCTCACCGGATTTGTGAGGGATTTCTGAGTACAGATGCAAAATCAGGCAAGGTGAGATCTTCTGCTTGAGCAGCTGGTGTTCGAAAGGCATACAACAGACAACAGACAAAACAATCTGGCTAACTTTACCCAACAAAGGTTTTTTTAAAAAGGTAAAGGACCCCTGGACTGTTAAGTCCAGTCAAAGGCGAATATGGGGGTGGGGCGCTCATCTCGCTTTCAGGCCGAGGGAGCTGGCATTTGTCCACGGACAGCTTTCCAGGTTATGTGGCCAGAATGAGTAAACTGCTTCTGGCGTAATGGAACACCGTGGCGGAAGCCAGAGCGCACGGAAACGCCATTTACCTTCCCGCCACAGCGGTACCTCTTTATCTACTTGCACTGGTGTGCTTTCGAACTGCTAGGTAGGCAGGAGCTGGGACAGAGCAACAGGAGCTCACCCCGTTGCGGGGATTCGAACCGGCGTCCTTCCGATCGGCCAGCCCAAGAGGCTCAGTGGTTTAGACCACAGTGCCCCTCACACATGCAAACAAATCTAACTTCTGCCAATTAAACACAACCATGTCCTGCCCCCCCCCAAGTTCCCTCACTACCAAGGAAATATAATAAAACAAACAGAAAGATAACCTACCCAAATGACGCTGACATAAAAAACCCACATACTGTACACACTAAGTATAAAAATACTGTATAAATTTACCACTTCCTCCCCCCCTTTTTCTTCTTCTCCAACTTTATTCTGTATACAACACTAATGTCTCACATTATATGTAACTGATATATGGAAAGACTTTACCTGAGAAAAGAGACGATGCACATAATTTTGTAAACAAAGAAAATATTTAATAAAAATTAGTATACAAAAACGGAAATGGCACACAGCATTTCTTCAGACATAGACATTGAACAGCAAACATCAGCAATGAAAATTAGGAGACGTCTTATTTTAAATTGGGCATTCTTTCCTGGAGGGACTTAGGGAAAGGTGGAAGGGTGCATTTGAGTCCGCAGTTCACATTCAGCAGTGGGGAGGGGGGAGAGACTTCTGTCAGGCTGATTCCCACAGATACTTGATTGTGTTTGATACAGT